ACACCCCACTCTCCAAACATAATAAAAAAAGTTACATCATTAAACATCTATTTAATGTATGAATTTGACTCTAACTCAACATACTAACTGTAAAATGTTCTCTCTGAGTCCAAACATKTGGATGTGTTCTATAAAGCTGGGTTCATCATCAAGACAGAAAAACACCAAATAAAAGCCAAAATCAACATATCTTTTTATCAAATACTCCATGTAAACAAAAGTTACAAAGTGTTGCCAGGGCATGTTTGCTGTGAAAGAAAGATGAAGGTGAACATTATTAATGCTTTGGCCTCTGTTTTTGTGTCTGGTTGTTCCAAAGGATCTCATGAAGCACTGGGTAGACTTTAATGACACACTGGATGTGTGTTTATGGACCACTGTGTCCTGTAGGACAGGTTAGAACTGCCCAGTGCATTGTGGGAGGTCAGCTACCACACCTAGATCCTCTTCTTACGGTTTGCTCAGTTTCACTCAGTCTTACATTTTAAATCTAAATGTGTAAATTAAATCCTTGAATCCTGCTTTTGTCAAAGAATGATGATATTACTCTGCTCACCATCAGTAAAGTTTGTGTTCCATTCTGAAATACTTAAATGTAAACTTTAACAATTAGCTATAATATTTAAGATTTTACTTTTATATTAGATTTACACATTTAGATTTCAGATTTAACAGTTAGATATAACATTTAGCATGTTATTTAGTTAAATGTTAGAACAATGAGCTATACTGTATAACAAAATGTTGGTGGAAAGTTTTTAACTCAAATTGAACTAAATAATGAGCTGTGTTTCATCACTTTTTTCTTATCTTAAAGAATAAATTATCTTTTTTGATTATTGTTTTCTAAAAGGCAGAATAATTGAAAACTAACTTTATTTAGCATAAATCTTATTATTAATTGACAGAAGGTGGAGAATAAAGTGAGCACACTTAGCTCTGCAGCTGAGATCAGTTTGCTGTTTGCAGTTGCAGCATGTGAGGGATAAAGAACAGCGTCTGAACCTGGAGCTGGAGAGGCTGCGCAACCATCTGTTGGAAATGGAAGACTCGTACACCAGAGAAGCCATCGCTGCTGAGGACAGGGAGACTGACCTGCGCAGGCGGCTGGCGCTGCTGGATGAGAAACTGGCCACGTCCTCCAGTGCTGTGGAGAACGCCAGGTTGGTAGAAACTAAAACTGCTCTATGTGCATATTAAAATAAATACATCTGGAACAAAGTATTCAGTGGAAAGGCACGAGTGTGGCTTATAACATCAACTTTTACTATGTTTTTTTACTTTTATTTCCTGTTCAATAATAATAATAATAATAATAATAATAATA